GGGGCTCGGCGTGGAGTTCTCTGCCCTCCGTGTGTCTGAATTCGTACGTGGAATTGTGTTGGAGTGGACGGAGCTGCTCACCGACACCGACCACAGCTGTGAGGAAGCCTCGGGAGGGACAGAGTCTCTATCTCACAAATCTAATCATAAACTGAAGATTAAAACAGGGTTAAAACGCGTGTTATTATCCCTCGCACGTTTCTTTCCAGGGTGTAACTGCTGCTGAAGTAAAGGTTTAGAGGATGACAGCGAAAGCAAACCCCCCCGTGACAGCAGGATCCATAGTCGTCCCTTACGGACACGTGGTGGGAAATGAGAAGTGGAGGGAGTCAGAGGTAGCCCAAAGGCTACAAGGTAAGCAGAGATTGGAAGAGGAAAACCAGGGCAGAGAGAGCACTCCCCTCTCACCCACCACTGCTAGGAACGGCTGGGGTATGCTTTACTCGGTACCTGACTGGTCCCGTGTTTGTGGTACAGACTGTGTTAGCAGCCTGAAAGATCCTGTGTATGTCGTGTGTCTACAGGAGCAGCTCTGTCATGTTTGCACAGGTTCCAGAGCACAGTAGAGGAGCAGCAGAAGTATCTGCTCTTGTGGGGCTTTGTGGATGTGCCTCCCCACTGAGCTCCCTTGAATCACATGGACACTGACACTGTGCTCTCATCTGGTGGCACAACAGACCGTATTAAGATGGTCATTCCAGAAAAGCATGTAATATTGTTTGAGTGCAGAGTTTACTGAGCAGCTATAGCACTTTAAAAATCTGCAGTTGGAAGTGCTTTTAACTAGCATTACTAAAGACATCACACAGCACTTTGGACTGCTTGTACCGTTTTACTTAAGTAGAAGAAAGGCTTGTGAAGAAGATAAACTTGATTGTGAAGTTGCCAGGATTATTGACAGCTCGGGAAAGTTGTGCTGTGAAGTAATTGTTAGTATGTTTTTAACTACTGTTTTGTCTTTCCACAATCTCACCTCAAGGGAAGGTCAGACTCATCTTCGAGGATGGCTTGGGCCTGGTGGACTTTCATCTCTCAAACAGGATTTGCATTTTATATATTTCTGAAGCAGATTTGGTTGCAGGGGATGAGTTCAAACAGAGACTGGTTCGGTTTAGAAATGTAAGTGCTGCCTAAAGAGAAAAGTTTTCGATTGATACTTTTTTATTCCATGTTTCTGAACACATTCTAGTGGAGCTAAACTTTTGAGATTATTTTTACCTCAAAACTGAAAAATTCTGCAGCTGTGTGATGCTGCATTAAGTCTCGATAATGTTGCTGCAACTCATGTTCTTCCTCTGATTTGCGTTCAGGCAGCTCATACTTCAAAGAATTTGTCTGTTGTTATGTTGCATCTGCTTGTCATTAACAAGGTCTTTTCTTTTTTCCCTTTCAATTCAGGCCAGCAGCCTTAAGGCAATTGTAATTGTAGAAAAAACACAAATAAGTGACCAGTACTTTCTAGCAGTACAGAAACTTGTTGTGCTCGAGCTTGGAATGGTGTTGCTTCCTGTGGCAAATCAAGGAGAAGCTTCTCAACTTATTATTCAGCTAGTAAGTTCCTGTGTTAGTGGGCAAACGTTTGTTAAATGTAGGATGTGTGGGAAAGCAGAGCAATCCTCAGGCACCACTCGTTTCAGAGAGAACACCTGGGATCTTGAACACAACATATTTTATGTAAGGGAGGAATACCAGGAATGTAAGCAGCAAATGCCCAGCAGCAGTGATGTGGCAGCACAGTTCAGTGTGGAGAGGGCTCATTTGGGAGCAAAGGAGAAAGGTTGAAGAATGTGGTACTGTGTATGTTTTGCATGACCTGGGCAGCATAAGGCAAACCTCTTTGTCAAAATCGACTTGGGATTTTGCTCTCTCAGGCTGGGCAAACTGTTCTTAACATTCCTCTTGCCCCTTTCCCTGACTGCACCAAAAAGATGACAACAACACTGCTTTCAGTTGTGGTTGCTGTTAAGAAACGGTTTGTTTCCTAGTAAGACTGTGTGGCACTCAAGCCAGGCCCTTAGCGTGGGCACAGCTAAGGGGCAGTGTGTGTTTGCTGCCCCAGTGCCTGCCCTGAGCTGCCCCGGGTGGGGCAGAGCTCCGGCACAGGGCGCTCAGCGGCACTCCCGGCTCTCTTGGCTGCAGGTGCGGGAGCAGAGCAAGGACCACAGCTCCAACCCCTTCCTTGGGAAGCAGCACGCTCAGCTGGCAGAACCAGCAGTGTTCCACACGGTGCAGCACATTCCAGGAGTCGGGAAAACAAAGTCTCTGCTTTTACTGCAGCACTTCGGGAGCATCCACCGCCTTTGTAACGCGTCCCGTGACGAGCTGGAGCAAGTCGTTGGAAAAACAGTAGCACAGCAGGTTTACACTTTTCTGTGTTCCTGACGTGCATGGAAATGTGTATTTTACAAAGCAAAGACTTGTTTGTTTCTTGTGAATCATAAAATTTTGGGTTTGATAATGGCACACTATGGTAATTTCTGTAATCGTGGCTGGCAACAGCTGGAGGGTGTGGACTAATTGTCCAGCTGTCCTGCTCAGATAGATTGAGCTGTGAAAATAGCAATTTCAGCCACACATGCCGAGTACATCTCCTCTGTATGGAATACTGGATGGCAGAGCAGGGTCTGACTGCTGCCTGTGTGTGTGAAAGAAGCACTGCACAAATACATGTGAGCAGTTACAGCTTTTGTAATGTAACCTTTAGAGGAAAACTCCAGAAACACGTTTGAACTCTTTGTAGGGAAGACACTTTAAACTATAACTTCCTGCACTGTCCAATATAAGCTTCTAAGGAAGTTTCTTAGCTCTTTGTGAGCAGCATCACAGAAACACACCCGAGGTAACCAGTGCAACAATAAACAACACAACCCTGTAAATTATGCTGTGTCATCCGAGCTGTGGCAGAATCAAAAAGCTACTACTCAATGTCAGCATCTGATTTTTATTCTTAAATAAGTGTCACCAAGGTATTTACATCTACTACACAAGAAACTAAGTGACAGATTTCAAAGTTTGCACTGAGCTGCAAACTTTCCCCTTAAGTTTGGGTATCAAACAGCATATATCTACTCTGTAGATGGCAATGTTAACTAACACTACAGTGTTAGCAATTCTCAGTTAGTTTCAGAAAATAGAGCCTCAGAGAAATGCTCACGTTATTTTTGTCTCCTTGCTTATGAATTCTCCCAAGGGCAGAAGGATTTTTTTTTGCTTGATGTGATAGTAAATAAATATTCTGCCACTTAAGACTCACAAGCACTTTTGCCTCTCATATCTTAAATCATCCCCACAATTTTTGTGCTCCTGATCAATATACTAGATCATGACCATTTTGAGATTTGTTTCACAGCTATCCATTTTATCAAGATTAATGAGATAAAAGTCTTAAGTAGGTTAAATAATGGCAAGTTTGGAATAAAGCCTCTTTTTAACAACTGAATCATCAGTAATTTAAAATGGAATCCAGATGAGAAAAAGCAGAGTAAAAGCCTTTCGGAGTTCCAAAGATCTTTTGACTTTTTAGCCTTCTAGTTCTCTTCCAGAATTAAATTACTGACCCAGTAGAACACATCTAGGACTCCCAGGAAACAAGTGTCTCTGCATAAAACTCACAGCCATATGCCCCACTCTGGGGATGGGGATCTGGGGACACTCCCCTTGGCACAAGGCTAGTTGCTCTGATAACACTATTCTCTCACCTGTGGTTCATTAGGAAAGTCTTTAAAGTAATCTTAAGTGATTTATTATTGACTAAGAGCAAAATCATCCTTTAATGTGTCCCCTATTTTTTTGCATGCAGCATCAAGTTTGTAATAAATAACTCCCATCTAGCACAGTTACATAAAAAAGTTACTCATGCTAACTGTATCTTGGAATTCCAAAGGATTCCAGTCCTCAGGTAAGCAATTCTAGCACCTACATCTTGTTCTGAAATCCCTTCACTCCACCCATCAGGTGTGTCAGTGTTCAGCTGCTGCCAGCCCCTGAACCACCCGAGAGGCTCAGTGCACAGCAGGTGAAGTCAGCTGTGTCTGAATTTATACACACAAAGATAAAACTGATCAGCATTTTTATGTACATTTTAAACAAAGATCCTTCTGAAAGGCTCAGTACAATGAACTTTCTGTGTGCAGAATTGTGAAAGGCGAAAGCTTCTTCTTAGTCTGAGAACTTCCACTCACAGCTGCTGGAAGGCAGAGGGTGCTTGCAGCTTTCTGTCTGTTCTTAGTTCCCCAGCTCAGAAAAGGCAGTTTCAGTGGGGCTTTCTTGGTCTGATCAGTCTTATCCTCGTCCATGGCTAAACAGATTAAGGAGTATGTCTTCTGCATTCCAGCAGAGTAAGTTGCACACTTGCTGTGCTGTAGGAAAAAAGAAAAGGAATCAGTCACCCAAAATGGGTCAAAATTCTGACAATAACAAAAGGTTACTGTGCAAATAGCTTTCCAGGGCAGGCTGCAGCAAGCTTTGTGTGCTAATGACATGCTAACTGAGCACAAGGCCATTCAGAGTGCTGTGATTCTGCTGTTCTGCAGGCTCAAGGGCACACTGGCCAAAGCATAAAGGAACCTGTGGATCTTTTCCACAGGTTGTTAAGCATTTACTGGCTTCTGGCATACTATGTAATGTATACACTAACCTCTCTACTAAGCCTAAGCATGTAGCTCTTGCCCAAATCTGAAGGGGAGTCTTTTTGCTGTATGTGACAGGCTCCATGTTATCACAGCAAGAGCTACTGCAGGGCATTCCTTTGGGATGCCCAAAGGCACAGCCTTCTCTCTCTGTGCCCTGAAGCACTTTGATTATATTCTAGTCTTTTGTTTGCAGTTTGCTCAGAATGGCAGGTGTGTCATTCCTTATTTTCAATAAAGAAAATCAACAGCTTCAACGAAACAAGAAAACCTAACAGCAGCAAGGGCACCTTGGTCACTGCTAAGGCAACACTGCTTCAGTGCCTCAGCTTGCCAGGGAATGTTAGGAGCACAAAGGAGTGGGTTTATCTGAACTACAGGTTCTTTCACACTACAAGGAAGTTTCTTAGAGCTTTAGATTTTTTAATCTTGTGATCTTTTTCCCTTAGTCTAAAGCTTCTACAGCAGCTTAGTACCTGACTAGACCAAGTCCAAACATTAATCCACGATCTAACACAAAAGTCACAGATTGTTTATGTTAACGGTGCATAGAGAATAAACATGGTCTTAGATGTTCTATTTCATTCCATCCTTCATTTATTGTGGCTTTTCCAGTGCTGAACAGGGTAATACTCTGATCCTCTGGGACAAGTTAGGGGAAATTAACCATGTCTTGAAATTCAGAATGCAGTTAATCTCGGTAGCTCCACTACAAAGTAACCCACCACCAACCCCCGTGATGCACACAGACTGCTTCCCCCTGCTGTGTCACAGTGACTTAAACTGATTGCTTCGAGCTGAGCACATGCCTGAAGACTTCATATGTTCACTGGTGGAGTGGGATATCTGACCACGAGAAGCAAAGATACACCAGGAAAGTCAGGCAAGTGGAAAAACTCACATATCCAACCTGCTAAACACATCTGCCTGGTTACATACCAAGGATGCTGCTGTGTCCTGGCAGCTGATAACCTCCATCTCCACGGGCTGCTCTCCCTCGCTCTTCAGTTTCTCCAGCACCTCATTCACTCCAAGCCACTTGCAATCCACACCACCAACTGAAACAACGTAGTCACCTTCTTTTAGGCCCACTGACTGTCAAAAGATTGTGCACAGGTTATAATCTGGAATTACAAAGATGTGTAAACCATTTTTGTCATCATATAGTCTCTGCCTTAAAGGCATTTCCCTCTGAGGTGCTGTAAACCCACTGTCTAGCCAGACATGAGCAGCTTCTGCAAGTACACAAACTATCAGTGGTAAATGTGATTCTGGCATACTCTTATCTCCCTTCTGCTTTTCTGCTTAAGTAAATGCAGCCTGGGGTTTGCTATCATCCACCATGAGATTTTCTGCAGGGTTTACTTCCTTTCCTTCAGTATTTTTACTTGTACTTCTGTGGTTGCTTCTGCCTTTCCTACAGCCAAACTGTGCTCATCACTGCATGCTGTCTTTGGTTTTTCTCCTGAAAGGACAACATATTAGAAGCAAATAAAATGTTCTTTTCCCTCTTTCCTTGGGCACACACTACCTTGGCCTTCCCTTCCTGATCCTCATCCTTATTCTTGTGGCTACTTTTTAAACCATTTATCCCTACCAACTTCTTGAATTAGATGGTAAAAGCCAATATTGCTCCCTACTTACGACTTTTTTTACTATTAAGAGTGAATAGAGGAAGAAATCAACTGTAGTTTCATGTGCTGTCAGGGATACAGATACTCTAACTTAATCTACAGTGTATATAGCACTGAAAACACGTTCAGGTTATATGACTTGACTATACTAGTGTCTAGCAGAACCCTATAACTGCTCCACACACCAGTATGAACAAGCCTAAGTGACACTCAAAGCAGTGCAGTGCTGGAGTCTGCAGAGAAATCGTTCGTGTTGCACCAATGTACTTACTGCTGCAGGGCAAACTGGGTCAAGCCCACAAATCTGCACCGGTGAACCTCCTCTGAGACCGAAGCCGAGCTCTCCTGCGCCGCGGCCGATGCGGACGGTGCGTGGAGCTGTCCATCTCTGCTTGGCTGAGAACACTGCCAGGGGGCCCTGGGGGGAACACAGCAGCAGGCCTGTTAGCCTTTGCTCTCATTCATAAGTAAGCACTTCTGGTTTTTGGAGTTATAATGCCTTAAGATCATCTTATGTGGATTTTCCTCAGGTTAGCATCCAGCTACTTCCCCTGAAGTGCTTAGTCCTCCTTCATGACTGTTCAGGTGATACTTCAGAGTGGTATAAAAGCAGCTGCCAACCTGTTCCAGGGTCTCTGGTGAGATGTACATAGTCTTTTGGCTGCAGCAGGCTCTAAGGTGCTGCATTGCTCCATTTTGGAGGAGATAACTGGATTCCTGACACATTGCACCTTCTGATCCTAACCATAACGGAATGCTTTTACTCACCACACACAGAGCCCCTGACAGTCTGGCTCTGTCACCTGCAAGCCACACACCTGCCTGCCCACCTCCAGGGACTCTATGTCTCTCCCCACCTTCAACTTGTGTGCACTTATCTCTGTGACTTCATGGGACCTTTACGAAAGTTATCAAGACTACAGAACCACTTTTTCAGGCTAAAACACTCGTGTCCCTTCCCTCACAGTAGAGTGAATTGATGCTCAGAGTGGCAGGGGTTGGTCAGCACGAGCATGGTACCTACCAGTTTGTGAAAGAAGTCTTTAACTTTCACCTTGGAAAACTGAGGAGCAATTGTTTCTATTTTATGCTCTGTCTTGGCTAAAACAAAAAGAAATCAAAATTAATTTTCTCCCAAGTATTAGTTAAAAGACAAAAAAAAAAAAATATTTGTCTTGCATTTCAACCTAGATAGAAATTTCTCCTAAATTCTTGCCAGGCTGTAGAAAACCTCATTTTTGTGGAAATTTGTAAGACAAATATCTGAATATAAGCCTAAAAATCTCCTCAGAGCTCATAGTATCAATAGAGAAAACTTTAAAAAACCCATCCAAACACAACTGTGCTACACAACCTCTTTCATTTATTTTTCCGTGAGAAATATTAAAACCTAGCACTCATTCTTTCCCACTGCTTCCAAAGAGGAAAAAACTGTATGAGCTGGACTAAGGTAGAAAATCCAACAGCCTCCAAACTGCATTAACAACTGGGACTAGTACCAGAGTTTTGCCTTAAGAAACAGTTATTTTTCCCCTAAATGTTTCCAACTTTAACAAGTTTCCCCATTTTTTCTAGCTCACAAGATAAGTCACCAGAAAAATCTGAATCCTAAATAACCACCATTGTCATGCACCCCACACAATGGCGTGGCCAGAGAGAAAACCACTGTAAAACAAGGAACAAAGTTTATTCGCCTGTCGCTGAGGAAATGCGCAAGGAATCTGAATGAACTCTCCAAATGTACAGGATACACTTATACATCATTTGTTGTGTAATTACAGATCACACATGTATCCACAGAGAGAAATTCAAGGCCTCTCCCCATAAAGTATATTCACACAGGTCAGAGATCCTTTGTTTCTGCCCGTGCTGACTTACGGAGGATATCTGGAGCCTGGATCAGACTGAGAAAATCATCTTCTGTCTCCTGCTGAGCATACTTGAGAAGTGAACGCTTATGAGCAGCTGTCAGGACCTCCTGCAGGACATCGATGTTCCGAAGCTTTTTGCACAGCCCACAGACCCTCAGAGCCTCCTCGTGGTGCACGACGGCCGAGCGTAAGTGTGCCTTCCCTGCAAAGGTCAGAGTGCTGCTGTCACCCCCGGACACACACGGGCCTTTGCCAACTGCAGCTACAGCTGGGAGACACTGGCACTTACCTAATTGTTTTCTCTGAACTTTGTCCTTCAAAACAGCGAGAACCATCAGTCCCTCGGGCAGGTGGTCGTACAGCTGGGACAAGGCTTTCTCCTGCTGGTCTTCATCATCACCAGGCTGCACTGGGAGAGCAGGCACAGAGCGTGAGCCATCACACCTCCTTTGGTGTGCTGGGTGAGATACCTGCTCTCCAAACGCAGTGAAATACTTTCACACATATATTGATAGGAATTGCAAGTGCTTAGCAACTTATAGCAGTTTCATCATCTACAATCTACAGGGCCCAGGTTGCCCAGGGAGGCTGTGGCTGCCCCAACCCTGGCAGTGTTCACAGCCAGGTTGGGTGAGCCTTGAGCAACCTGCTCTGGTGGGAGGTGTCCCTGCCCAGGGCAGGGGTTGGGCTGGAACATCTCTGAGCTCCATCCCAACCCCTAAAATTCTAGGATTCTATGAATATGCAATACTTACATACCAGAACATACTGATAAAACCCAAACTACTTAGTAGCATATAATGGTTTCCTTCTGTTTCTGCAAAAGTTGGTTTACTGAACTTTCACACTCTCCTGTAAAGCACAGATGGGCAAGGCCTCATATTTGAGTGGGAAAATGACCACAGCTTAACATGCATCGAAGCACCAAAGTTCCTCCTAGTGCTATTCACAGCCCAAATCGTAGCTGTTGGTGTGTTCATCATTGGTATTTATATCAACATACAGAAAAAGTAAGGTTCTTACGTTCATGGTCACACAGAATGGTGGCAATGAAGTAATGTGCCAGAGCTTTGTAATGGTCAGACTTTATTTGTGCCAGCTTAGACCAGGAGTAGGGAATATTCTCTTTCACTGGCTCCTGGTTCATTGCAGTGTTAACCAGCATGTAAACCTCTCCCACCTGAAATAAAGCACAGAATTGAAGTATGAGAATTTAGCAATAGCCCCCAGGAGCTCAAGTAAGGGATGATATATTCAGCCTTAAGATAATTTTGTGTGCATCCCATCAAAGAAGGGAAAAAATATGGTTAGAAAGGACTGGCAATAAGCTTTGAAAAATTTGAAATTCCATCTCTGATTTTTCCCTTACAAGAAAGGTGAATTAATTTCATATGAGAACAGATGGACTAAGTCAGTTCAGTCTCTCTGGCTTCAGAGTTAGCCCTGACCTTTGGCTTGTAGTTCTGTGGACAACATCTGTACTGTTTGAAAGTGCAGAATGAAAAACAGCTTGTAAAAACTCCTCAGGTTCACTGCTGGAGTGTTTCAGCATGTTTCTGTCAAACTTCATTATTTAGGGGTTAAAAAACTTGTAATGGTTCTCAAATACTATTTAAATTGCAGCCACTCATGTTCTAATCTTCTGAAGGGTTGTGGTTCTCACTGCAGCTTGTCCCCTGCTATTTCTGCTTTCCAGGAAGGGTTGTTAGCATGTAGGTTTAAGGAACTCTGGTAACATCCCTAGAAGCTGTGGGTGCTGTAAACAGCACTGCAAACAGTCGTTTTAAGACTCAAGTCCCATATTTTACCTTGGCAACTTCCTGTGTCATTTTCACTAGGGTGAAAAACTCGTTGCGGATTCCAGTCAGCCCAATCTGCTCAAACACACACTCTCGAGCTTGTGCAAGCATCATCTTCACCAGCACGTTCAGCATGGCTGGGCTCATGTCGTAGCTCGGGGTGTGAGTGAAGGTCTCCTTTAAGTAGCTTAGGACTCCTGAAATTACAGAATGGTTTTGTCAGCACTGCAAAGACAGAAACAAGTGAACTCAACTCTAGTATGTTGCATAGTCATTAGGACTGCAAGAACATTTTCCAGTATTGCACTACAGCAATCTGAAGGGATTTAGCACACGTGAAATTAAACGAGCCTGAGGGTTCTGCCTTGCATTGCCATCAGCCATCCTCAGGCACAGTGCTCAGGGTCACAACTCGGGAGCCACACAGCTGCAGGTTTTGGGGGCTCTGACTTCAGATTGGCTTGTAACAACTCTTGTGATTGACCCCAAAGCTGTGCCTAGCTGAATGTGAGTGGTGTGTGGGAGAGTCAGGCTAGGGCTTGTACAGGGGACAAGAACGAGAAGGATGTCTGCACAGCTGTAAGGAAATGACAGCAGAACCTCTGGATGGGAGGAAAAACAAACATACAAACTCCATTAATTATGAATCCCCTTTTCAGGTGCTCCCCCTCTACTCACTTGTGTCCCTGCTCCACTCTGCTGTTGTGAGACCCCAGCTGGAGTGCTGCACACAGCCCTGGTGTCCCCAGCATAGGAAGGACATGGAAGTGTTGGAGCAAGTCCAGAGGAGGCCACAAAGGAGGTAAAAGCACTGGAGCATCTCCCTGTGAGCACAGGCTGAGGGAGTTGGGGCTGTTCAGCCTGGGGAAGAGAAGGTTGTGTGGAGACCTCAGAGCACCTTGCAGGAGCTGAAGGGGCTCCAGGGAAGCTGCAGAGGACTCTGTGTTAGGTACTGTACTGATAGGACACAGAGTAACAGGTATAAATTGAAAGAGGGGAAATTTAGATTTGATATTAAGAAGAAATCTTTCACTGTCCCAGGGTGCCCAGGGAGGCTGAAGAAATCTTTCACTATCCCAGGGTGCCCAGGGAGGCTGTGGCTGCCCCAACCCTGGCAGTGTTCACAGCCAGGCTGGGTGAGCCTTGAGCAACCTGCTCTGGTGGGAGGGGCAGGAGGATCTTCACAGTCCACCTGAATCCCTAGCACTGTGTGCTCCTGTGCTGCTCCGTGCGCTGTGTCCCAGCGAGAGCCTTCAGTGAACTACAATTTTTATTTGTTGATGTTTGGTAGGGTAAAATTAGATTCTGCTCTAGCCCTTGGGCTCCACCAACACATTAATAATTCCTGCCATTTATCAGATCCGAAGCAAGCACTAGCTGTAGAGCAAACATTAGGTAACAGCTGTGTGGCTGGGAGGTCGCCCGGCTGGTCTGGTGAGCTCTGCTGGCTGCCAGCTGCTGGCACTCCTGCACCAGTGCCAGAGTGAGACCTCTGCCCTCAGCTTCTGGAGGCTCAATTCTTGCCACTACACTCAGTTCTGGCCACGTTGTGCTGAGGTTTCTTCACAGTCTCCTTGCTTTTTAATTTTCCATGGCACACTTGTAATTGTGTCAAAAAAAGGTAATTATTTGAGTGCTTTTGGTTTCAAAATTGCGGTGCTCCCAAAAATGACTGCCCTTAATCTTTGTGGTTTATACTGTAATATGCACATAAATGACTATCTGCATTAATTTTTAACCTGCCCTTACACAAATTTGAGCTGTGGCCACCTCCACCTTTTGGCACTAAAAAAATGAACTCCAAACATGCCAGGTGCAGCCCAAGTACTGACAGAGTGCCCTGCTGAAAGGAACTCAAACTATGGGGGGGAAAATAAGGGGTTTTTTGTTCTCAACGTATTTGTGCTTTTGCAGAGAGCTTTGCTGGGGATGAACTCTGTGCAGCATCTTCCACTCAGCACTGAGAAACTCCTGAGACGAGCTCTGAGTCGTGTCTGCAGAGGGAACCGAGTGCTAGGGAGCCATGCACAGGTACAGTGAGCACGTTGCTCTGGGGCTCTCAGAGGGACTGTGGTAGCAAACAAAGCCTTTCCAGCTGGGAATTCACTCTGCAAACACACTGCAGTGAAAAGCAGCCATTTTTTTGTTTGCAAAATGGAAGGAGCAGTAATAGAAGGGAAAAGTTTCCCAACCACTGATGTTTCTTTCAGATGAAGTATGAAGGTTGAAAAAGAACTTATTTAAAATATGCATGAAGAAATACAGATTTATTTTTTTTTGCTGGGCTGTGTGTTCAAAAGAAGAGTTTTCATGACGACTCAAGAGTTTAGAGCTGATAAAGCTACCAATACAGGGGAACCCAAGCCACGGGTTGTTAGTGCAGAAATAGATCTTACAGCACAGATTACACAGGTCAGGTCTCTCAGCTTATGTGCAGCACACATGATACTCACAATAAAAATTAGAAAGCCTATTTAAAAAGCCCCAACAAGAAAAAAGCTTTTGTAACATGTCACTTCAAGGGATATGATCCCTTTAGTAGAACTTCCATTTTTCCTTCCTTGGAACACAGATTAGTTTGGATCTGTTTGCAATCTATGGAAAATAGGTAGCCAACTTCCAATGAACTGCAGCTGTCACCAGATTAATTTTTAAGACCTCCACATAGAAAATTAGGCTTTAAGGTTTTTTATCAAACCTTCAGACTGTCTCCTGTACAGGTTTGGCATCAATGTGCCATCACTGAGCTGAAAGCAGCTGTGCTGGTGAAACCAGGAACGAGCAGCAAACAGCTGATGTTGGTGCTGTAACTTGGATGTTTGAACTGCAGTTCAGTAATCATTAACCACAGTATTCACAGCCTGTGTCTGCACATCCAGACTGCAGTTCCAGGATTTGAATTAAAGCTTCATCTGAGTTCTAATGAAGTCAGCAGAAAACGTGGAAATCTGTAGGACATCAGAGTGACATTGCCCAAAGACCCTCCCAGTGTTTTAGAACAGGTACCTGCAGCTTTCTGAAAAGCATCAGCGGCGTTTTCGAGCCCAGCCTGGGTCTGCCGATTGCTCCTTGTCCCAATCTGGGTGTAGAGAGCTCCAATGTTGAACAAAATACTTGCTTTCTCAAGCAGCAGATTCTGCTGACACACCGGGACACCCGTGAAGGAATCATACCTTGGGAAACAAATATCAGGAGAAGTGTTAGGACCAGCAGAGCCCACTGAAACAACAGGTATTTCCATTCTGTTTTTCCAAAGTGGAATTCTTAGCAAGTGTTCTGCTTCAGTGAAAATTAAGGTGTATAGAAATGTTATGTTCTAGAAGGACAATCCACTCACTGCAAGCCAGGGAACAGCTTGATTTGAGGCTTGTTTTTCAGCAGGTTTTGCAGTTGTGGCTCCATAAGGTTATTGATTTAACTCAGAAGTGTCAATAAAACATCCCAGAGAAACACTGGGGAAGTATCCACATGTGCTGCTATGTTCTCCTACTTACTTATATGTTGCCAAACATATACTGTTGGCATGGTCAGACCCTCTGTTGCTTGTGTTTGAAGTTTGTTTGCAGTTATGACTAGAACTAACAGTTCCTCCTGGCTGCATTGCAGGCATCTTCTGTCATCATAAAAGTTTTGAATTCAGAGTCAAACTTTGCTCAGAGATGTAGTAAATACTCCCCTACAATAAATTAAGTCACTCCTTTCTCTCTCCTGGCCCAAATGGGACTTAAATTGGAGGAAGGGAATCAAGGTCTGACCCATTCCCAATCCTCATGTGCCAAGGTTCAGAGTTCACTAAGTGTCTGCAGCTGTCCAAAATTAGATCATTTCCTCTTTTTCCCTTGTGCTAACCTGTACAGCCCAAATCATAATCTAGCCAAGCATGAAAATTGAGTGTTGTATTGAAGTTTACTCTTAACTCTGACAAAAAATTGCCGACACACACTGCAGGGATGACCCATTCCCAATCCTCATGTGCCAAGGTTCAGAGTTCACTAAGTGTCTGCAGCTGTCCAAAATTAGATCATTTCCTCTTTTTCCCTTGTGCTAACCTGTACAGCCCAAATCATAATCTAGCCAAGCATGAAAATTGAGTGTTGTATTGAAGTTTACTCTTAACTCTGACAAAAAATTGCCGACACACACTGCAGGGAGTCGGGGGCACTGAGTGTTGTATTGAGGTTTACTCTTAACTCTGACGAAAAATTGCCGACACACACTGCAGGGAGTCGGGGGCAGACACACTTAATGCTGAACAGTGCTCTGAGAAAAAAGGTGGAGAAACATGAACCACATACTCACCATGTAAATAGAACTCCCATGTGCCTGGTGGGTGGGAAAAATCTGTTTTCTACATAACCAAGCTGCAGGAAATAGCTTATCAACATCTCAATGCCAGCTTCGTCTCGGCTGGGAGTGCGGCAGGCCTAGCAACACAGGAGACTCAAGTCAGGGGATGAATTCTGAAACACCAAGTATAAAGCTCTGCTTCCTTTGAGCTTCTGCATGGCACAGCAATGTGTGGAATCTGAGAGCAGGAAGCCTAAGGCCTTATGGACGCATTCCAAATAAAGTTTTTAGGCTGCACAGGAGCACATAACCTTTAAGAAAGCAAACAGGATCTGTTTGGCAAGTCTCAGAGTTAATGAAATAAAGATTGTAGGTATTTTCTGACAGCTACAGAGAACACTTGTGTTTCCAGCATAATACAGGAAACCAACAATAGCCAGAAATACTATTTCACTACATTTTGCCAGGTTAATTCACTTTTTGCTAAATTTACAATACTTTTAAGAAAAAAGAAGTAAGTAAGATAAATAGAATCACATAATCAACTGGGTTGGAAAAGATCTCACAGATCATCCAGCCCAACCCTCCCGTGGTCACTAGCCCATGGCACTAAGTGCCACATCCAGTCTCAGCTTGAAAACCTCCAGGGATGGTGAATCCACCACCTCCCTGGGCAGCACATTCCAATGTCTGATCACTCTCTCTGGAAAAAATCTCTGCCCAATATCCAACCTAACCCTCCCCTGGCAGAGCTTGAGTCTGTGCCCTCTTGTCCTGCTGCTGGTTGCCTGGGAGAAGAGACCA